CCTTTCCCCTGTTCCCAGATTTAACAGTCTGTATTGGATTCTTTTTTTTGGTGAGGATTTCGCTATATAGTTCAGGCTGGCCTTGAGCTCACTTCGTAGCCCAGGCTGGCCTCAAACTCCCAGCGATCCTCCTGCCTCAGCCTCCCAAGTGCTAGGCTTGTGCCACCACGAGTGCTGGCCTCTGTATTGGATTCTGGATGTTAATCTATTTGAAAACAACCTTTTTTTTTTTTTCTGACGTGATGTATCTTTAATGCCTCAAACACAAGAGCTTGTTAATACGTGTGCATATGATTTTACTTATTTTTTATTTATTTATTATTTTTTTTGTCTTTTTGAGACCAGGTCTCGCTGTGCAGTTCAGGCTGGCCTTGAGCTCACTTTGTATCCCAGGCTGGTCTCGAACTCACAACGATCCTCCTTCCTCAGCCTCCCGACTGCTGGGTTATTGGCATGTGCCACTACGCCCGGCCTTCTAGTTTCTTTTTGTATATGTGTAGTTATTTATTTATGTTGTACAGGGGATTGAACCCAGAGCCTTTGCCCGGAGCTACATCAGCAGACCTCTTTTGCCCTGAGCTACATCTCCAGATCTCTATTGCGTTCCTTAAATTTTGAGACATGATCTGGCTAATTTGCTCAGGCGAAGTTTGAGGCCTCTTGGAGCATGGGGATTACAGGTGTGTTGTACCACACCCAGCTTAGCCTTTTAAACAAGATAAACTCTTGTTTATGACAGAATATTAAGCAGCCTAAAGAAACTTACAGTAGGGGAAAATCACTTCATCCAAGGGTAGGGTTTAATCTCTTGAGCATTACCTGAAGGATATACAGCTTTAAGTTACTTCTGTGCCTTGTTGGAAAATGCCTGAGGTTATTACTGAGAGCTCTGGTGGGAGACTCTGGCTTGGAATTATTTGCAAACACGGGCTGAGCAGCCCTAATCTGAAAGCCTGAAACCTACGGTGGTCCAAAATGTGAACTTTCTGAGCACTGATATGATGCCACAGTGGAAAATTCCATACCTGATCTTCTGTGGCAGGTGACAGGCAAAACCTGGAGGCACTGAAAACAGCACCCAAAACCCCGCAGGCGGTGTGGGTAGAGCATGAGGAAACCTCCGTGGGTCTCGTGTTTAGACGGGGATCCCACTCCTAAGGCCTCTTGTGCGCAGCCGTGCCGTGGTCCACGCATTCTGGATAGGGGAGGGGACGCTCCTGTGTCCGCTTTTGTGCATGTGGGGAGAGAAATGTTCACCGTTAGCTTCTTTCAGGGACCTGTAACCTGAAACAAGAATGTGCGGCTTCGCAGTCTTAAGTTGGTTGGTCTCCTGAGCGCTTCCAGGGACGGCTAACCCGCTACCTCTGTGGCTCTGTTGCACAGGGAGTTTTCTGTGGGAGTGAGCTGAAGTTCATTTGTTTTCATTTTTGGAAAGTTCATTTTATTTTTGTTTTCTTTTGTTTTGTCTTTTTGAGGCAGGGTCTTGCCATGCAGTCAGGCTGGCGCTGAACTCACTTTGTAGCCCAGGCTGGCCTTGAGCTCAGTGATCCTTCTGCCCCAGCCTCCTGCCTGCTGGGATTACAGGCGTGCGCCAAGGGAGCTGAATTTTTAACCCTTTGCTCTACTGCTTGAGCCACAGGTAGAGGAGCGCTTGAAGGACCGTAGGAGAACTGTCCAGCTCTCTCAGAGTCCTGAGGGAAAGTCAGGTGTTCTGTGCGCCTTCTTCCTTTAGTTATTCATCGCTGTGCCCTGCGTAGCTCCGCTCTTGAAGTTCCCAGGGGAGTTCCCAGGGGACAGACGGTGGGAGGATGGAGAAATAAAAGAGGCAGAAAGCTGAGGTCAGGTGGAGCCCTCTCGAGGGCTGGGAGGAAAGTGACTGGCCAAGGCCTGCAGAGGGCTTATTTGTACACAGGGGGGTGGTTGTCGATTTCAGCCTCTCTGCCTAGCAGCTTGTTTGTGAGCTGGAACAGCTTGCTTATCTGGCTGCCCTGGAGCTCTCGGGGCTCTCTCGGGGCTTTGTCTTAGCCCCGCAGCTGTGCTCAACCTCCAGCGGCAGCCTGTCCCCACAGTTCGTCATGTTATTCTTTTCCAGATCTTGCACTGACCTGGTCTCCTGCTTGTGTGTGTGTGTGTGTGTGTGTGTGTGTGTGAGTGTGTGTGAGAGAGAGAGAGACAGAGAGAGAGACAGAGAGACAGAGAGACAGAGACAGGGTCTTGCTATGTAGTCCAGGCTGTCCTTGAACTCACTATGTAGCTCAGGCTGTCTTCAACTTGACAGGATCCTCCTGCCTCAGCCTCCTGAGTGCTGGCATCGCAGGTGTGCACCACCACGCCTGGCTGCCTTGGTCTCTCTTTACAGTCTAGTGTCCATAATCTCACAATTCTTCAGGTCTGATCTGGCCACCTCAGAACTTGAAATTTCTTTCTCACAGACGCTGTTGTTTCTAACTAACGTACCCCTAAGATTGTGTTAATGTAAAAAAAATGCATTTCTTTTTGTAGGGGAGGTACCCGGAATCAAACTCAGGACCTTGAGCTTTCCAGGCAGGCATTTGTGCCACTGAGCTATATCCCCAGCCCCAAAAATGTATTTTTAATTACAAAATATTTCAAACAAATAGAAAAATACTGAAAATAATATAACAAGCCACTTGATGTGTCTGAGATTGCATGTGCATGAACTTCTGTCATACATATGTCGGTTTTGTTTCCTTAAGAAGTTAGATGTCCACAGGCAGCCAAGTCCTTTCCCCGGCTCAGGCCCTCGCAGCCCCAAGTAAGTTTGCACTGACTTTGTGCTGTGGACTTAGAGCTGTGGTCAGTCTAGCTAGCTGTTCCTCCTTTCTGGTGCCTGCAGGAAGCCTTTTGAAACCCATTTATTTTTTAGCTAGAGGTGTTGTAATTGGCCGATGTTTATTGAGCCCTTACTGTGTCAAGTGTGATTTTAAACACCTAACGTCTAGCAACCCTTTGAAGAAGCCACTGTTTTTCCTATTGTATGGACAAAGAAACGCTCAGGGTAGAGCCGAATTTGACCTTTGACCCTTGCGGAGGTGCAGGGGGCAGCACACTGAGGGCGGCACAGCGGAGATGCCCCAAACGTGCCTGGAGTCTCACGGAGGACAGGGACGCTTCAGTGGTGTGCAAGTGTTCAGAGGGAGAGGTCTTGAGGAGTGACGGGGAAGTGGGTTGTGGGGCACAGCACCGTGCAGACAGCGCTGGACTTGGCTTAGTGGGGGAAGCTAAGAGCCGCACAGATGGGCTGGTTCGTGGAGTGACAGCGCCGCCAGCTCGGCACGAGGAGGGAGGTCACGTGGGGCACCGGGTGCAGTCCTCATGGGCCCAACGGCTTCAGCAGAAGCCGTGCACAGTAGCACACACCTGTAATCCCAGCTACTCAGGAGGCTGAGGCAGGAGGATCACAAGGTGGAGGCCAGCCTGGGCAAGCGAGTGAGACCGTGTCTCAAAATAAAATGAAAAGGATTAGGGATAGAGTATCCTTGGCTTCAGTCCCCGGTGCAACACACACACACACACACACACACACACACACACAACTAGCAGAGTGGTGATGTGAGAGAGCAGTAGTTTTGGAGCACCATTTGGCAGCAGGTGACAGGAGGATTTTCTGTTTGGGAGTTCAGAGTGACCAAGTGGGTAATGATGGTTCCCGTTACTCGCCAGGGACCGGGCTAAGCTCTTCAAGCTCTTCAAGTCTGTGCAGTGTATCAGCGTTTATTACCAGCCACCCCAAAACTGGGTGACTTAATTCTGGAGTTCGCTTATGCCACACAGGAGCACGTCTGACACGACTGAACTGCTTAATTGGCTCAGCGGTCGAGTTCATGCTGCGTGTATTTTACACCTGTAACTAAAGTAACAGCCCTTGTTTACCTCACCGTGCTCCGGGTGCGCTTTGTGTCCTCTGCCTGGCCGGGACCCTCCGCACAGACAGCGGAAAACACCAGACCCCGATGCTCACACACTTTTCAGACCTCTGAGTCGTATCTGCTACTGTCCCTTTGCCCCCCAAAAGTGACAAGGGGAGCCCAGACCTGAGGCAGTAGTGGGAGACAGTCCCTGCTGCTGGGAAGGGCCTCACACTCGGGGCCATTTTTGTGACTTACTGTGCTTGCTGATCTCGACAGCAGCCTGAGGAGCGCGTGTACGTTATCACGGTCTGTTTCCAGATGAGGTACGTGTGGCTCTGTCACCCAGTGGCTCTCCCAGGGCCCCCCAGACCGCGGCGGGGGCTGCCAGGTGCCGAGGTGGTCCTGGCTGAGGTGTGTCCGTGTGTCCGTCCGTCCCTCCATCCCTGCGGGCTGCGCCAAAGAAGGGGCTCAGGTGTTGTCTGTTGCGTGCAGCCCTGGCACACCAAAGGCGCGCAGTAATACCTACTGCCTTTCTCCCCTTCCCTGTCTCGCGGCCCGCCTTTCCTTTCTCTCCCTTCCTCTCTCCCTTTCTCCCTCCCTCCCTCCCCAAATATTTGATCACCAGTTGCATGTAGACCTGGCTTTTGTGAAGCCTATATTCTAGCTGAAGACAGAAATAAATAAAGCAAGCATTTCAGGTCAAGATGAGTAGTATAAAGAATAAAAGGGGTGGGGCTGGGGATTTAGCTCAGTGGCAAAAGCGCCTGCCTGGCAAGCGCAAGGTCATGAGTTCAGTTCCCGGTACCGGAGAAAAACCAAAAAAAAAAAAAAAAAAAAGAATAAAAGGGGAAAAAAAAGGAATAATCGCAGCGCAAAGGATCCCCTGAAGTCAGGGGAGGATTAATTTGTAGGGTTGAGATTTAGGCAGAGACTATTTCTAGTCTTTTTCATCTGTAAAACAAGACTTGGGAGAATGTTCGCGCTGCGAGGTGTGGGGAGGGAAGGTGGATGGTTACGGTCAGGGAGAGAAAGACTTCACAGCACACCCTTTATTCTGTACGGGAGACGCAGGCTGTTTTTCCTAGCTCTGGGATTTAAGGATCGGTATGGTAAAATGGTGTTAGTTATGTTAGGTGCAGGCCTCTGAGCCCTCTAAAACCTGTGAGCCGTTTTGAAGCACAGCGGAGTGTACCTTCCTTAGAGGAGATGACTAGGAAAACAAGTTCCCCTCCACATGACACTTGTCTTAGTCTCAAGAAAAAAGTGGAGGGAAGATGTATGCTTAGCAGATATCGAGAGCTAATTATTTCTGTCACAGAAGAATTTGGCTGTAGAAATTCAGGGTTCAGTAAATGTGACTTACACTGAGTTTTTGGAGCATTATCAGTTAGGGACATTCTGCCCCATGCACGTTTGTGACATCAGTCACCGGCCATGGAAGGGAATAAGTAGCCTTTTTTTTTCAAGACAGGGTCTCGCTGTGCAGTTCAGGCGGGCCTTGAGCTCACTTTGTACTCCAGGCTGGCCTTGAACTTGCAGTGATCCTTCTGCCTCACCCTCCTGAGTGCTGGGATTACAGGCACGTGCTACCACACCTGGCCAGAAGTAGCCCTTTGCATCAGGACATCTGTCTTTTTTCAGGTCTAAACCCTGTTGCTGAGACAGATATTTTAAGTTTCTGCTTAGCTCTAATTCTTGACCTGATAGTAGAAGTTAGCCAACTCTTCAGTAACTCGCCTCAACCACAGGGTTTCCAATTTCAGTCTGGAAACCAATAGTATTTTCTTAAGAAAAGCTTGAAGTCATTTGGCAGCAAATCCTGATTTTAATAGAAATTGAGACTTCATTTATCCCATTTTGTATAAATAAGTAAATGTTCTGTTGAAGTATAAATGCAGTCGTGGGTTACAGGGTGCGCTGCACACCGACAGGCGTCCCCTGCATGTTGTTGCCTGTCCTCCAGAGCAGAATTCTGCATTTTCTGCGTGTCTAGCTAAGAAGGTTTCTGGTAGATTGTGCCTATAATACCTTTACTGAGGATTAAAAGCAGCGTGTGTTACGTTTGGCCATTAGATTGGGTGTGGCGGTGCACACCTGGGATCCCAGTTACTTGGAGGCTGAGGCAGGAGGATATAACAGTGCTCTTGGGCTCAGTCGCCAGTACGGCCAACACGCATATACACGCGCGCACACACTCTCAGTTGGAGCTGCAGGTGGTGGAGGAGAGGCTAGCACTGACACAGCGGCTGTTCCTGGTGACGCTGTTGTCAAGAGCCTGGCCTGCGGCTCCACAAAACGCGTTGTTGGATTTCTTTTCTCTGAAGTCTTGGCCCCTGCACGTTTTCAGAGGGGACGGCATTGGTAAATTGTTTGTAAATAGTCTGTAAATTATTCACTTATTCCTCAGGCCTCTTAGTGGATATTTTTGTGTGCCAGACACTCTTAACATAAGAGGACAAGGAAGTATTAGCTTTCACCAAATTATTGGAGGTGAAAATTAAATTCGTGGGATTATGTGACTTAAGGAAAACACCGCTACTCTTTAGGCATGTGTATCCATGTTAGGAAATTCAGCAAATACAGATATAAGGGAACAAAGTTCAGCGGGAACCCAGAGGGGTCCAAGGTCCAGTACCGCTCCCGAGGGACTTTCCGGGATTCTCACCGGGAGATAGTGCGCTTTAAAACCACTTCCCTGCTTCCAGGCTCTCCAGGCGTTCCCCAGCCCTGTTCGAAGGAGCGGGGAGGCCCGGAACCCCGCGTCTGCTCACGCGCGAGCCGCGCTGCTCGCGTCTGCAGCAGTCGCTACGCCTCCCCGGGGTGCGGGCGCCGCGAGGCCCCGGCCCCG